TATTTGTAGGCGCACTCTTCCCAAACTGAGCCTTTGAATCTTCCCAATAATAACATTATTTTTATTTAATAACAGCTATTTTCTACAGTTCATTGATGAGAGCTAATGAAGATGTGTTTAAACAAGTATGCTTTTTTCTTCTTTTTATTTTGATAAATGAGAGTAATTTTATTGAAACAAAATCAGAAAAACAAGCAGCCTAAGAAGAGGCACGAGATGTTACCTCCCCCAAGGACTGAATCATAAAAACTAAAACATGCCCAAACCTGAGATACAAATTACAGAGTAGCCCAAAACAGATCACCCCTTGACACCCCTTGCTTGGCCAGAGAATCGGCCATTACATTTGCTGATCTGCTGCTAACCCACTGGAACCTAACAGTCATATTTCTTGTCATCCATTTAACTTTCTTTAACAGATCCCTGTAGCCCCAACAAACTGTGTCTGGGCTATTCAGTCAGCCCACTACTACCTCGGAATCTCCTTCTACTAACAAATTGTTCACTCCTAATCGACTAGCCATCTGTATGCCTTGTACCGCTGCTAGCAGCTCTGCCCTTACAGAATTGCCTTCACCCGCTGATCCTGAGAAGAGAGACAACGTATTGCTGTCTTTATCTCTCAAAATCCCTCCAATTCCGGGTGGCCCTGGGTTACCTTGGCAGCTGCCATCAAAGTTCAATTTTACCACTCCATCCAGTGGGGATTTCCAGTCAACTTGTAATTTGTTCTTAGTGGAGACTGTAGAAGCCACTGCTTCCCAATTTCTACTTAAGTCATCAAAGGAGAAATCTGCCAACAATTGTGAAGATTTCAGCCATGAAATTGTCTTTGTCAATATACATTCCTTGACTTCAGCAAAACTTCTTTCCTTTTCTTGAAATATTCTAGCATTTCTCTCCTCCCATAAAATCCACAAGATGGCGGTTTTGATACATTTCCACATTATCTTCCCCCTTTTTGTCAATCTCCCAAGAGCATCTAGAGTGAACAGCAGCTTTACTTCAGAGGGCAAGTTCCACCTGCACCCAAATAAAAAAACAACCCAATTCCAAATAATAGCAGCAAAGGAACACAATATCAACAAATGGTTACAGTCCTCACCCTTCACTTTACACATAAAGCACCAATTTGGGGACAAACACAAAGAAGGTTTCTTCTTTTGCAAGTTTTCCACAGTATTGATCTTACCATAATAGGCTTCCCAATAGAACACTACTACTTTGGGGGGTATTGACCTTGACCAAACCTCTTTAACAAGGAAGATTTGAGAGGAAGGGTTAGAGCAAAGGGCTTTAAAGAAAGATGCGCAAGTGAAAGAGCCAACCGGGTTTAGAGCCCAGACTCTTTTGTCCGAGTTAGTGGGGTCCAGGCACACCGAATCTAGAAGCAACAACAACTCTGAGACACAGAAATTCTTCATCCCTTAACCCTCTCCGAAACCCAAAATTCCAATTTAAAGCCAAAGGGCAAACCGGGGGGAAAGGAACCAAGAAATGGGTTTATTTTTAAAGAGGGATATGGAATAGAGAGAAGGGAAACGGTCTTTTAGGGGTTGAGTGCTCACCCAAGTATCTTCCCAAAAAATAATAGAGTTTCCAGAACAAGCATCGTACCTTACAAACCTGAGGAAATTAGGGAGAATGCCAGAGATAGCCTTCTAGGGAGTTGTGAGCAAAGCCCTTCGGGATACCCCCGCACATCCCAACCTGATTCAAAACAGCCATGGATACCTTTCACTACTTCATGCCACAACCTCTCCCTCTCTAGGAGCCACCTCCAAAGCCACTTACCTAAAAGAGCCTCATTCTTACTCACCACATTCCCTAAGCCTAGTCCTCCTTTTTTGCTCCTACTCACCACCTCCCACCTAATCAAGTCTTTTTTCTCTACACCAGGTTCCCATAGGAAGTCCCTCATCAGTTTTTCCAACCTCTTTGTCTCCCTTTTTTCTTCTTTTATTTTTGAATTTTCGATTTTTTTATTCCATGTCATTCTTACAGAAAACCAATAGATACTCCAATTCCCCTCTATTCTCTCCTCTAACCATACCTCCAAAAATCAAACTCAGTATTCTCTCCTAAATTATCTCTAATTCCTTTTATGAATAAAGATAAATTTTATTAATTCCCAAAACTGATTTAACTTTGTAATCTAAAACAACAGCCCTTGGGTAGGCACGAGCTGCAGCTACCCCCAACAAATCTTCCCAATTTGCCCTTTGCTTGCTTAACACATCAGCCAACTGAACTTCTTAATTTCAACCATGCCACCCTTGGGTAGGCACGAGCTGCACCACACATTGTTCTCAGGGTTCTTCAACCATGCCACCAACTTGGAACCCCATTCAATAATTAGATTCTCTAATCCCATTTGATTTGCAAATTGCACCCATTGTACAACAGCTAGTAGCCCTGCCCTAACAGAATCTCCAAATCCCAAGGACCCAAGTAAAGAACAACCTCTCCAAACACAATTCTGAACCCCCCCCCACCCTACCCCAATTCCAGAGGAACCTGAATTGCCCAAGCTGCTCCCATCAAAATTCAGCTTCAGTGAGTCTTAGACAATGAAACCATTTTACCACTTTGTAATTGCCTTATCTTTATGGAGGAGCACCTTGCTACTGCTGACCAGTTTCTCCAATAAATCATTAAAGGAGAATTGCTGGAAAAGTTCCAAGGTCTTTAACAAATGTATTGCCCTATTCAACACAGTCTCCATAAATCACTAATGGAGGAGCACCATCACAACCAATGTAAGTCCAAAAGTTACCATAAATACTAATTTTTAAAATAACAGTGATTTTCTAGAAAACTTAAAAACTCTATTCCTAACAAGGATTAAAGTATCGGTATCGGGTATCGTATCGGATAACTCGGATATGGATACGCTTTGGAAATACATGGATATTGATGACAAACAAGAAAACACTTGGATACACTAGGAAAATGAATATTAATTCCATAAATATATTACTAACAATAGGTTTAATGTCAAAATAGCTACAAATTATGTACAAATACATAAGAATTGTATATTTTGTCGGTATATATGAAGAAATATATTAAAATTAATATAGCGGAATGCATGGATATCATACAATTTTATTGATATGCATCAATCAAGATTCCAAGAAACATATTATATAGACTTTTACAAATTAATACATGCACAAAGCCATTATTATCTTATTTTATATTAAAGTCCAAGGCACAAAACATATGCAACTATTATATTTCAATTATTATATCATTTGTTTCTATTTTACTACTTATAATTTTTAACATTAACAAAAATGTTAACTAAAAATTAATTTTCAAAATTTTGGTAAACAATATTTTCATTTTTGTAAACAATAAATATGTTATTATAAAATGGAAATCAAAATTAATTGATAATTTATAAAAATATATAATCCTAACTTAAAATATATCAAATCTATTTAAATTTCAAAGATACATATTATATGAAAATTCATAAATTTTAATTACTACAATAATTATTTCATTATTAATATTTTATTCTTATAAATTTCTAAAATAAAAAAAATAATTCTTAAATATGAATATAGATTAGTGGATTTGATAGATTCAATTTATATTACAATTTGAAAAATTTTATAAATAATATTTTTATTTTTGTAAATAATAAATACATGGTTATTTAATGCAAATTAAAATATTAATTAATAATTTATAAAAATTTTGAGATATATATCATGTGCAAATTAGTAAATTTTAAGTATTAGAATAATTATTCTATTATTAATACTTTAAATTTTCTTTAAATTAAAATCAACTTTTTTATATAAATGTGGATTTGATAGATTATTTATTCTATTGGTTTATAAAATATTAATTTTAAATATTATTCTTTTTAATTTGTAATTGGAGTTGTTGAAGATAAGTGTATGTTGGTTGTTGGGATTTTATGTAGATATTAAGTAGTAAAAGTTAATGTATTCCATTTATTGGCATGAAATAAAAGTTGGCTCAATGGTTAAAGATGCATGTGCATCGTTCTTGGGCGCTAGGTGAGTTGCGGTCTTGGGTTCAAGTCACGCTAATAGCACTTTTTATATTGAATTTGCGCTTGTTGTCAAACTGAGGTTTGATACGGTTCCGTATCGATGCATATTGGACTGTATCGGCCGATATTGCACGATATACACTGATACATACAACTGGAAGGATATACTTCCGGTCAGTGTGTATCCCGTGCCGGCATGACCCGATACCGGTACGATACGCCCCATATCAGGCATACCGTATCGATATTTTAATCCTTGATTCCTAAGACACCCACAACTAGAGAATAAATATAAGAACTCAAAAATTCCAATATCCTTATCATCCAAAAATTCTGACATCGATAATGGGAATTAGAAAAATGATTTGACGCTCCATGGATTCTTTCCTCACTTCCATGTCTACATCATAATCCCAGCTTGATTCTTCAAAATAAAAAGTCCTAATCTAGGATCAAAGTATTCTATTTTCAACTTATACATCTTAGATCCAGGCCTAACAGGATAGATTCTTTTTTTACAGATAGGCTAAGCCAAAAATTGAATACTACTCACCAGTATAGCATTAACTAGATAATGTCTGGAATCTGGATACCCAGACATATTAAACATTACAACTACTCACCCCACAGCCACCATTGAAAAAAAGGTAAAAAAGATGAATGATATAAGTCCAGTACCAAATCCTAGTGTACAATATGATGTTCGTTTGATCACATGAAGCCAGTCATCATGGAATACTATTGTTGATAAACTTATTCAGTGCAACAGTGTTTAGTATAATCTAGGAAGTAGGAAATAAACTTTTTTTGTATGACAACATGATTAAATAAATTTTTAAGATGTAAGTACTGACTCAATGGATCCAATTTATGCAATTGAAGATGCCATTTAACTTGTCAATTGTGCAAATACAAAACTCAAATTATATACTGTGATTGATGAAAAAATGGCTAAGATTTAACATACCTCATTCCCAGCAGGATGGAACCCACCACCTCCATAGTCTGTAAACTGGTCAAAACGATGAACAGGGCCTGAGCCCCGACGATCCCATAAGACTCCATTCCAAAGCAACATTGTATCTGAAGGGCTAAAATGTATAAGCGACTGTACATGCCCTCGGCCTGGACCTGAAGAACCAGCAGAGGTATCAGAAAGTTTCAAATCCAGATTGCAGGTTTGGACATCATACAAGAGAATTTCACGCCTAGATGACTCAGACGATATGGCAGCAAACGTTGACCCAGAATTGCTGAACCTTGCCAGCTTGCATCCTTCAAATGAATGCATGGGACCACTGGAGACAGTAGATGCATCCCACAACCGGACATCATATGATCCTGAAGACAGCACTAGCTGGGTCCCACCAGAAAGAGACGACTGGACAAAAGTCACAGGTGATTGGTGGCTTGTGTGAGTTTCCAGAACGCTATTATTGTTTGAGTCAAAAATCTTGAGCTCGCCAGAATGGCTGCCAGTTGCAATTCGTAAGGAATCCCCGAGAAAAGTTATGCAAGTCAGAAGAGCACCATCATCGCGACAAGTGCGCCACGGCCTGAATCTACTATAGACAAACTGACGGTCCCTGCGGTTTCCGTGAATCCCACCATAATGATACCTGAATTCACGTGTGCTCATACGAGCTGTCACATTTGCAGGTGCATCAAGGCTTCGTTTTGGCTCAGGACACACATGTGGGTGCAACAGAGAAAGTGGTGGTAAGGTGGTTATAGGAGCTGGACACTGGCGATGCTGGTGCTTCAAATACTGCACGACAAGAGAGTCCAATGTAACCCGTTCTGTGTTACCTGACTGTGGATCAGCTAGAAGAATAGGTTGGAAAGCAGAGGGTGTCATCTGGCCCAGAGAGGAATTATTATAATGATTATCATCCAAATTATCGGCAGCAATTCCACTTGGAGCTGTCCGTCCACAATGATCACGCTGACTAGAACTTGGTGTGATAGAAAATGCAACAGCATCTATTGGTAGATTGCTCTTACGTACAGCATTGGGTGTTTGACATAATGGAGACCGAAAACCATGCTCAACTGTTGCAAGTCGTTTTCCGGGTGATGCAAAGCTATCCTTGAGCTCCACTAACTTCCTTTTCATTGGCAATACTATTGGAGTCTTAAGTTGGGGTTCTGAATCTGAAACAGGCTTGACAACAGAAACCCCTGGAGTATCCAATGCCCCTGAAGCTGCAGATGGATTCTTTGGAGTGCTGGATACCTTGCTAGTTGATGATGGATGAGATGGAGTCTGGTTTCTGTACTGAAAGCTGAGACTAGATGAAAAAGATATTGGTTTCCTTCTAACAGAAGAGAGAACTGAATCAGATTTTAGACTGGAATCCTCCTCGCGCACTGTTAATTTTGATGTATCTGAGAGAAACCCACAAGTGGTCCGGCCAGAAGGCCATTTGAGTTGTACCGTTGGCATTTCTTGCACAGACGTTTGGTGTAGAAGAGGGGGTGGTGCTGCCAATGATGGCAATGGTACCAATTGAGCTTCCTTTAGAAGTGTAGCAGCAGTAGTGCTCAAGCCAGATGCCTGAAGATGTTCATGTATAAGGAGTAGAAGTTCCCTGAAGTTGGTAGAACAAATATAAACAAGAAAAAGAAAATCAACAGAAAGCAGCAGGACGTCTGTAAATATTTGCATTCAGGCAGAGACATGGTAATATACCTGGAATGATAAGTAATAGGAGTTGCAGCAGCTATAGCAGCTCTTTCTATCCTCCTTAAAGTTGGGGCAGCAGCATCTGTAGCTGCTAATGTACTTGCACGTCCTGAATTGGTTACAATCTACACAACATATGCAAGTATAAGAAGCACGAAGAACTGATGCTCCTAAACACTGAAAATAAATAAAGCAGTAGTACTAATGAATTTCAAGTTTCTATTTATAAGTATATCCTGGTGCAAGTGAGATCAGTAAAAATATCTAAGCATCTATTAACTTGTTTGACAAGCCAACAGAACTTAAAAGAGGTTTAGGAGCATATGATCCATATATTGTCTGCTCAACTTGATAGTAACATTGCTAGAAAAAGCATTACAATATAACACCCCTGGAATTCAACACCAAAAAAAGTAAGTTCCATAACACCCCTTAAGAAATAATATTAGCATGGAAATCCAGGTGAGTTGCAGAATATTTTTATCCACGTGTGTACACAGGTGAACTAGTATTGCACATAAGATGCTTAACTACACCATAGATGAACTATATTAGATAATCTGCAATTTAAGCCCATTAATGCTTACCGCAATCAATTCAATTGCCACTTGGGCAAGTTCAGTTTGCCACCTGCCCTGCTCTGTTCCAGGTGTCTGGCTGCCTGAATCTCGAATTAATTCTGAAAGCTTCTTGCCAACCTTAAACACCATATCAAATTTTGTATAACAGATCAATAACCTTTTCAATAGGTGTTTTAAAAGTTTTAGTAGTATCCATGTTCACCAAAATCAACACAAAACCACCAGCAAAAGATGTCACACTTCAAGGCCACCAAACAAAACTCATAAAAAGAAGGCACAAACATTGTCAGTTGCCAAAGACATCATAAGAAATTGCAGAAAAAATATTAAAACAATTTCCAAGAAAATAATCACCAGAATGACATGTAATTTTAGATATACTAACATCAATGGTTGCCACCAGTATTGTATGGACATGGACATGGGAACCAGAACCCCATGCATGTCCTAGAGTCTGGCTCAGCAAGAAGAAAAAACAAGGACTCATGGGTACATCTATATTTAACATGTAGCAGTTATTACAGGACCTTCACTAACCTGAAGCTTGGTCAGTATGTGAGCAATTGTCTCATCTCTGGCTAAACCAAGTAAAACCCGGCAAGCAAGTGCACGGATGCAGTCAAGAGAAGCCGGAGGTGTCAGTATGCGAGGATGAAGGAGATGCAAAAGAACCTTTATACCATTGTTGGCGCGAACAGCCTCCCTTGCTTGACGATATCCTTGTTCCAGTTGTGCAGCAAGGCCAGCACAACCTGCCCCAGGACCTAAAGATATTCTACGATCTCCTACTACACCTGAGGTTACAGTAGGTGTGGTTGGCTGTGATGGTGTACTGAGTATAGCTGAACTACCTCGTTCCACAACACTAGATTCACCATTTCGGTCCCTGCTCTCCACGGTAGGACCATTTGTTGCAGACTGTTGACCTTGTGCAAGGCCAGGTGGTCTATTGCTAATCGAAGGTGGAGGACAAACAAGATTAACTAATACATTTAGTGCCGGCTGAATAACCTGCCAGTGTAGAAAGAAATCATTACAAATATTAGCCAGCAGCTAAACACACATGCACATAACATGGCCTCAGAAGTCGTATTACCAATTACCTCAGGATCTACAAAGCCAGCACCATTTGCTGCATCTAGAATAATTGCCATACCAACACGATCATTGCTCAATGTTGCATTTACAATTAGCTTGCGGCTAGAAGGTACCAATGTGACAATGTGCAGAACACCTAATGCATATTGAGCCATATCATGTAAATAGCGCTCAACAGTTGGGGCCTAAAATAGCAACAGAAAATAGCATAAAAAGTCAATGTGAAGCAAGAAAACGAAATAAACCCACGAAAGCATGARATTAGTAGGAATTTCATACTTGACACAATTCCAGCATAATAATATGTCCATTAGAGGCTAAAAACTTGTCCACAGCAGGCCAATGAGCTCTTACAAATGCAGGACCAAGCTTCCGATCCCGCTGTATTTGAACAAACACTGCATCCATGGCCTCATTACTAATGTCAAGTGGCTTGTAGGCAGCTCTAGCACTCGGAATATGTCGGGCTAAACTTCGATTTTTGTTTGGACGGAGAGAATCCACAAGTAATAGAAGATGTGCTCTGAGATATTGTCGTAGAGCAACACAAGTGTGATAGGCTATTTGCTTCTCTGATGCTGTCAATACCTCTGCAGGTGATCGATCATTTCGAAGAGATCCCGTATTAGACAGACCAAGTGTTGTAGCATTAGTTCCTGACCTCACAGAGGCAGCACCATTTAAAAGGTTCAGTAATTTTTGTGAGCCTTCTTGTGTGTCAAAAGAATCCACAACTGCTCTGAAAACAAATGCAGCAGAAAAAAATACAGCAGCATTTTTTCTTGCTTGATCTTGAGGGCACTCAAGAAGATGAAGAGCTAACTCAACCACCTGGTTGACAACATCCAAAGGAAGGGCACACACACGCTCCATAATCCCCTGCAAGAATATTCTACGAAGTAAGAACCCTTAAGAAATAAACATAAAATGTATAGAACTAATATTAAAACTAAATAAAAAAGAACATCTCAATTGCCAAACTTGACTCTTGTGTACCTGAAGAGACCCAATAGTAAATAGGCAGGAAGAAAGACCAAAGAAAGTCTGGGCGACTCTTGGAACAGCAAGAAGTTTTTGCATGCCCCCACGATCAACAAATAACGCAGCAAATTTACGGTGAGCAGCCAGAGCACAAATTAGCTTCAGCACATCAGGCAAAAATTCCATAACCTTTGATGATTCTGTATGTTTCGAAGTCCGTTGCAATAGTGCGAGACAAACATCTACTCCTTTTTCATGCAAAACAGGTCCTAGAACTTCAACATATTCCCCTAGGATCTCAAGACACTGGATACAGCACCTCTCTCTTAGTTGTGCAAGAGAGTCATTATCTAAAATAAATGATCCTTCCAGCTCTTCATCTGGTTCTGGTTCTGTGGCTCTTGAACTTGTTGGGTCTTCATTGACATTAGTAGAGCTCCTGTCACCAACCATGATAGTTATAGCTACCAAATTAGATATTGCTACTTCAAAGGATATAAACCAAATAAATGAACTTTCTACATACCTGGAGACCTCAGTTGAATTAGCTGCATCTATAACAGTAGATGCAGCTTTTGATGCTTCCAAAACTGCAGCTTCTTCATCATTTGTTTTTTTAAATTCCTAAAGCATATAACCATAGAAAACAAATTAGTACAAGCTATGCAACCCCCTCCCCATCCCCACCCAAAAAAAGGGGGAACAATAGTCTTACCTCCAATGCAGAACTCTTGACAAGTTCAGCAGCAGCATCACCAGCTGCTTTGATAGCCTCAATAGGTGCATTTGCTGCTCTGGCTTCAGCTTCAGCAGCTCTAATTGCTTTCTTCACCAGATCTGAGATATCCTTTGTACCAACCTTGCATTCTTGGAAGCAATCATCATTATCATCTCTTACCATGACAAAACCATCAGCATCCAGCCTGCTTGAACACTTCTTGGTATCAGATGCTCGCTTTGGATCTGCATTTCTCGGTAGATTTTTGTCCCTAATACCACGACTTTGTCCTCCTAATCGTATTACTGATCCAGGAGAAGTCGAAGCCCTTTCATTTTCTACAGCTCCTTCATTAGCCCGTCCCTTTCCTCTAACCCTTGCCCATCCACGGTTTGCCCTGCGCCTTGATGATTCATCTCTTGCATTCTCATCAATATCTTCATCTCTCATGGATCTGCTAGTACCATATCTATCACTAAATTTTGCCTTCCCATCACGCAAATCACGACCATGCCATCTTTCTTCACCAGCCATTTCAACATCATCCTCGCCTTCATACAAACTAACCCCTTCAACCAAATCATCAGCTGATTCTCGAGATTTCAGTGACTCTCCTCCATCTCCCCAACACTCTTCTCCACGCAATTGCCTGGAACTGATGTTTTTGTCACGGTCCCTTTCATTATTTTGATCATCTAACAATCCATCTACCATCCTTGAACCATCTATATGAGCATTATCCAAGATTTGCCGGAATCTGCCCCTATTTTCCTCTCTACCTCTCCCACTAGCAGCACTAGAAGTATTCTTACTCTCTACTGGATGACTAGCATCTTTCTGACTTGTACTCATATCCCCAAGGACTCGGGTACGGAGGTAACGCATAAGTTTGGCTGACAACCCAGATGTCAAAACATCTTCTACCACTTGACCACCACTGTAATGCCATTTTAGAACATTAAAAAGAATATCATCAAAAAAAACATTGGGAATGCATAATACAATCTCCAGTTAAGGTACATACCCAGCTAAAGACAAAGCAAGGAGTCCAGTAGCATAGGTCCTCAGCATTTCAAAATCTGTGGGTGTATTTCTGCCTAACCCATGCTTTCCGTTGCATTCATCAGCAGAAACTCTACCCATATCATCCATTATCCAGTGTTTTATGTTCTCCAAAACAGAATCTTCAAAAACATGAGGATACTGTAGGCCATAGGAAGATCATCCACCCATAAATATCAACACTATACATTCTACTCATAAACAATAAACTAGACCAAACAAATCAAAAACAAAAGAGCTAGCATTTACCATCCATGTAATTGAACAGCTGAGTACCAGCCTTGCAGCAGCTGCACGAACGCTGGTTGAGTATCTATTTTCCGTCAGGAACTTGGAAGATATTAACTCAAAGAAATCATCATTCTCCTAAGAGGGATAAGAAAGAATAATTTTTAGAGCAAAAGTTTTCTAAAACATTAGGTGATTCATTCTCTCAAAACCAAACTAATTATAAAAGAAAAGTGGAAACTAAATTCTGCAGGGACACAGTAAATAAATTTAAAGTGCTCCATGCAAGCGGTCATGGTTGAATGTAGTTACCCGAACCAAGTTCCCCAGCCTTCCAATATTGTGAGAAGCTCGTCCATTACTCGAAGAGGAATGACCTGACTCCTCCATGTATCTGATTATAAGCAAATAAAAATCAGGTAACCAGAAAAACAATAAGGACTGTTCAAAATCAAAAGACCAAGTTAAACAATGATTACAATAAGCCTGTAGAGCAGATATAAAAAAAGAAAACTTGACACAACAAGATTCATATGCAAATTTCATATAAAACTCTTTCAAAACCAGTTTGCCCACTGTGCAAAGGAAAAAAGGAAGAATAGAAAGGAGGGAGATGGGAACCTGTACTGGAAAACCAATAAAGATGTTCTAAACTCCCAATACTGCAGAAAAAGTCAGCAATCAGCTTGTAGCTTTTCGAAAAGTGAATATTTCTTTTATGCAAAAATTGGTTTTGTATTTATTTGGACTCCTATCCTTTTTTTTTTGAGGTAATAAGGAGTTTATAAATGAAATTACTATGGTTAATTATCAAAAAGAAAAGTGTGCCAATCAGTATGCTAATGGTTAATCCAGGTCCTTCCGGAATTGGAGTGATTAGAGATGGAAGTGTGAGCATTTATGACTTGTTTTCGGGGCCTATTGATCAAGTTGTTTCAGTGAGAGATGAATTCATGGTGGCTATTGTTGGGGTGCAAAAAGCTAAGGAAATGGGAATCACAAGGCTGATCGTTGAAGGGGACTCAAAACTAGTCATTGGTTGGTTGAAAAAAGGAGAAGGGGTAATATGGTAATTCAGAAATGATTTCAGGCGGTTCAAGTTGCCGTCAAGACAAATGCAAATTCTTTTCAGATGGGTTAGGAGGTATGCTAATGGTTTGGCAGATGGATTAGTTAAACAAGGAGTAAATAGACATCATTTGTTTAGGGCTCAAAGTTAATAGGGGGTGTGACTCTGTTATAATGGGTGTTATTTCTAACAACTTGTTGTACTCTTTTTTTAAGTTTAAATAAAATGTGTTGAGTTTCTGATAAAAAAAAAAGAATTCTAATGTTTAATTATCAAAAATACATTTCATGTGCCAATCAGTGTTCTAAAAGCTACATCTAGGATCATAGGTGAAACTTTTTGTGGGGTGCACAGTGTGCCACACCGAAAACCAGGTTTGTTTTACCTCGTCTATTAATATATTTTGATGAATTGGCCTTTTAGTTTGATATTGAATATGTAATTCACTACAATATAGTTGTACCTATGATATTTAGAGTTTAAACAGATCAGTTTATATAGAACCTGAACATGTAAGACTGCACCATTAGTGTTATAACACAGATCAGCAACATTGACAAGGATGAAAACAAATCATCACTCAATTCCCTAGGTTAAAAAAGAAAAGAAAGAAAATCAGTGTCATAGTCAAAAAAAGCTTGGTGGGGGTAACATTTTTTATCAGCAACATCCCCAAGAAGTTATGGCCCTCTTTGATTGTTGTTGGGATTGTACAATATTTTTCATCATAGTAATACATTGCCTTCGTCATCATCTAAGCCTTGTCAGATTGATCCCAACAGCAGTAATCCTCTCAATGGAGAATCCCTTGCCCTCAAAATTATTAAATTTCCCTCTCCACAGAACAACCAATTAATCAGCAATTGTATGGTGCTCCACAGTATCTTGCCTCTGTTATTCAGGCCCCCCATTCTCCACCTAGCTAGCAATTACCTAACTCTATTTCAGGACACACCAGCTAAGCTTGGCTGCAAAAAAAATTAAAAAAAAAGCTAGATGTAAAAGGGCAATGAAGAAATAAATAGTCTTGTAGTCTGTTATTTCTCAGTCAAGCTTGCAGAAAACACAATATGGAATAAAGGAAACCTTCAATGCAACCGCAGACATCTAAAATAAAAGAGGTTACAACAACAGGTTGTGAATACAACTGAATTACACTACATACAATTTTCCCTCATCTGAATTGCTGAGATATTTTTTTAAAAAAGACCCGAGTGAGAACACCTCAGATTATCCCACATTCACATTCTAGAGTCCTCTCAATCTGTGAGAGGTCTGCCGAGTCCCCTATTTCCCAATGATTTAGGTTCCTTCTCAGGCAGGTGTCATACGAATGCCCTTCCCCTTAATATTGATCAACCACTGACATCTCCTAGTTCTCAACTATCAGAAAAGTGAAGGAATAAATCTATCAGTGACCTATCATCACATAATGGATATATAGAAAAGCAGACTCTCTTCCCCACAACTACATTGAGCTTCGCTTATTTGAGGAAATAAAGGTACAATTTCGCAATCCCTTCCAAATTGAGAATCTGTATGTATCATTTTATGAACTAGTACCCCAGTTGAATTCCTGGTGCTACATTTTCCTGCTACCAATTGCTACCATAAGCTGTTTGGTTGTGTGATAAAATGCCAAAACCATTCTCCCATTAGCATTGTATTTGCAATTTTAATCTGTCCTACTCCTAAGCATCCTGTCCACCTTGGATAATAAATTTTCCTCCATTCAACCAGATGATCTTCTGTTCCTCTTTCCATCCAAGCCTAGAAAATCACTCTCCATCTTTTTTAACTTCTCCCCCATTCAACCAGATGGTCTTCTATTTCTCTTTCCATCCATGCCTAGAAAATCATTCTCCAACTTTTTTAACTTCTCCACCACACCTACTGGAGAAAGCCACACCTGTTTTATGAAATATTTTATTTCTTTTAAGTTTCAAATTTGCATGTTATGTAATAAGTTTTTCTTTCAAAAGTGGCACATCACTTCGTTTAGGCCCATATCTCACCTTGGCCCTTGTGCCTCAAGCCCTAGGAACCCCTTTCCGCTTTAGTTGCATTTCTCCCTTCTAAAACAGTGATTCTAATATAATGTGTAGAATTAAAATCACAGAATCATGCATACACTGGTACAGCATTTGCCAATTAGCAGAAGGCAAACATTAATTGGACAAGCCTAAGGAAACAAGCTTCCATAGTTGGTGGCAGTTTCAAGCCCTAGAACTCTACATATGGAATTAATCCTTAGTGTTCACTAATTAGAAAACATTTAGATGTCCCGCAAAAAACTACTGATATCAATAATTCTTTATGATGACTAAATTGTAATGTCCCCCTTCCACTATCTTCTATGGAAAGAAGTTACTCTTTTTAATTGACAGATCCTGGTTGAAAGACAAAATCACCACCATACCACACTTCAATGCCTAAACCATAAAATTCTCCTAAATCCAATAGAATATATATTCCAAGGCCTGCCTGTCTACCTTTGACCAAAGCCCCACTTCAACAATATCCATCTAGAACATGATAATATAGGCAAATGAGGAAGCACAATTACAAAAATCCGTTTAAGACTTTAGACCTAGGGGTGTTCAATTTTCGATACCCAACTCTCACCAGTTGTGATTGTTCTGCCTCAACCTGACTAACCTCCTGTTGTTTTAAATTCCGAAACATTTGCTTGTCTTTCCATTCCCAAAGCTTCCGAAAAATTTGCTTGACTAACATGACTAACCACCTTCTCTGTGCAAAACTCGTCCAAAGCTTCTGCAATCAACCTCCAGCAATGTTCTCTCCCTTCTGGGAAAGACACCGGTTGCCTCCTACCATTCCCAAATGATTCGTACAGCTCAACGAAACACCCCTTACCATTACTTCTTTCCTCGGCGAGGAATTTCTTCCCTTGACAGTGCATCTTGCCCTTCCAACCAGGCGTCGTAACAGAACGGATAGTACCATCAGTAAAGCCCTTAAACCAGTCAAAAGCCACTCTATTTAAAATCATCATTGATCTTTTATCTTCCCTAATTTTTAGTGCTGAACCTGCACCTGATTCTTCAACAAGAACCTCCTCTTCTCCACCACCAACTCCTTCTTCCACTTCATCGCCAGCRTGAATAATGTTTCAGCTTCCATCATCACTCCACTTTGTAGCCAGCCCTGCTGTAACAGTCGAAGCTCGCCTTGTTAACGGATCTTCACAGCCGGGTCTTGAACTGAAAACCCTCTCTGTCCTCAGTCCTGCACAAAAGCACAACCTTGGACAGAAAACCTAGCCCCAGCAAGGATTTACCGGGTTGGGGTACCTCCTCTTAGTTGACCTTTTCCTCTGGATGTAGTCTGGCAGGTAGCATAAGAGTCCAGCAAAGCATAATGCCGCAGTATTTTCCATGGGTACACCTCAGCTGGTTCCGTCATAGATTGGGTTCTTGCTTGCAGTTCCATTCACTGGACCTTCAAGAAGGCCCTTATGAGGACTTAAAAAACATTTGTATATCGAAAGTTATAACTTATCTTTACAAAATTACATTTACTTATTCAATGAAAATTTTATAGTTTTGAAAACGAGAAAACAATTAAACTAACGTGGGTCTGGTTCTCGCTAAACGACGATAAAAGGAAATTCGTGTATCAATGACTATAACTAATCTTTAGACTTGGAGACTAAAGAAAGGTAGAATAGCAGAAGGGCACATGAAACTAGAAGAAAAGGGGGGAAGGGAATATGGCATTTAGAAAAGGGAAAGAAAACCAAAAGACCACAATATCTTTAAGTTGCAGAAAATGAAGAGAAAATTCACATTTTATCTGCACTCATTTATAAACATTAGATAGGTCACAAAAAGATAACAACAAGCCTTAATTAAACTTCAAAGACTAAAACCCAAACCCAATGAAATTCCCAAACATACAAACTCCGTTCCACTCAACCACTGAAATGCCTTCCTCTTGCAATTTCAATCGCCGGAAAAAGCCCTAATCAATGAAAACCTAATTTTCTAACCACCATAATCAACCACTACCTCTTCACTGCCCCCCACGTCCTCAACAGGAACCACACAGAATTCAAATTTCAGAAAACAAAAATCCCTTGCCACCCGTAAAACCAATACCCCAATAACCGAAACCCTCTCCTAATCGTTAGAAAACAGAAGAAAAAACAAGAACCAAGAGAAGGGAAAACTTCCGAACCTGGATTCTTCAGTCTCAAGCATGGAAGCTAGGGCATGAAGAACCTTAGCGCTAGGGTTAGCCTGCGAGGACGTGATCTTTTCCATTAGCTTCTGAGCCTTCTCCACCAACTTCTCATCCTCGCTCTCGTTTTTCGGTTCCTCGGATTCCGCTGGAGCTTGAGCATCCATGGTCGCCTCCATTTCAATACCAAAGATCAATAAGCAGCAACAGAAGGGAATGTGCGCGTGTATATAAGCGCGATAGAGAAAAGGAAGAAGGAAAGAATTACTCAAGATCGGCTTCGGCCGTTCGCTCAGCGTTTTACAGCACTCCATTGGAAATATCTCGTGATTATACGTTTTTTTATCATGGGAAGATATTCCTAATGCAGGGTTGCAAAGGCTGTGCGAACGGTTTAAGCACGATCTTGTGAACACTGAAGCCGATTCCGCGGTGTTCAGTTTGGCCTCGTTCGGTGTAGGGGTGTTTATTATACGGTTCAAATCGAAAAATCGAATCGAATTAAATCGAATTTGCGGTAATTCGGTTTATTATACGGTTGTTTGGCTCGATTTAATAATTTTTTAAATTGCGGTTTACCGTTTTCATTTGGTTTATTGGATTTTATAAACCAACCAACCAACCTGGAAAGTGTAAATCGAAATTTTATACATGCATACATATATAATGTAAACGTATAAATATAATATGAAAACATATGGTGTATAAATATTATATATAATATAATATATTTAAATTGAATGCATAAAATTATAACTCTCTTAGGTTTTATTTTTCTGACAATCATGAAACCTCCCTTGTATTTTGATTAAAACAAAAACCTCCCCTTATAGCTTTTGAATAAATAGATAGTTACATCCCTTCCATTATTTCACTAGGAATGACCCCTCATTAAGTACGAGACCATTAACTGAATTATTTCAATTTTTAAATTATTTATATTAGACATTTAGGTTATGCCTTTTATTTGATTTAAGAGACTTACCATGTTTTATTTAGAGAATGACCCTATATTAAGGGGTAACTAAAGTATCATTTAATTTGAAATTTACTATTTAACTATAAAAAATTAAATTAGAAAAATTAACATAGGTCTTATATCTTTGTAATTGACAATTTATTTTGACATACTTTGTTTGAAAATCACTATTAATTTATATTATTTTTAATATGATTTAAGAGATTAAATGAGGATCTTATTTGTAAACAATAACCCACTTTAATTGGTATTTACTATTTATTTGATAAATTTATTTTTAAAAGCTAAATTAGGTTACACTTTCAAAAAAGTTAAATCTAACTTGCAATTAATAAACTATTTCATCTAAAAGAACGAAATTCACACCATTTTGTATTAATTGTTTAGTCATTTTTATGAATCCCGTTTATTTTTAATTTTTTCATTTAATATTTTGAATATCTTTAAGTTAAAATATTTGTTTAATTGTTACATTTGAAATGGTTGTTGTGAGCTTCGGGAAGCTCATGACCGACTTGAAGAAATTGAGTCACCACCCATTTTTTAGAGGAAATGGGCCCTCAATTCTAGATTTGAAGTCAATTTGTGTCTTTTATAGTGACTCCATTCTCAACATGAAAAGACACACAACCAAGAGATTCTAGATCCGAAAGAATTGGGAGTGTTAGACAATGTATGCCCTTAGCTCCAATCAAATTAATATACTTATTGTCATTTATTGTAAATGAATAAAGTGCATAATTGATTCATGTTATTWTGGTGTGTTTYTRTGTAATACCCTTAAAYTRGAYACTTATGAGACTCGTGTTAGTTTAGAATCTTCATAGCCATTGGATAGATCTGAGAGATTTATCCTACCAAGGCTAACACTGATGTACCACCAAGTTGGTTGGGGTGGCTTGTCTCAGCTGCTAGGGTGAGACCTGATGTGCATGCAGTGTGGGTTTTCTTGAAACCCTGAACCGAACCAAATTCTTGTGTTGCCCTATACCTTGGAGATAGATGGACAAAACTGGAATGTTACACCTGACCCCTAGACTCGATTATGGTACTTCACTAGGTGTTAGATTGGGCTGTATTTGATATGCCAATCAGTGAGATCCTTAGTGGGGGGCAAAACCCGGGTATGTTGGGGCAGTCCAAGAATTCATCTGAGTGGGTGATCATAGTGACAAGATCAACTCCTTTGTCGGACAGAGTGAATGATAGGGGAATGCACTCTCTCTGGTGGAAACCTAAACTGTCAGCAATGGATTTCAAATGTATTTGAAATTTGGTTTTGCAAAATATATTTATATAAAGATATACTTATATATTATGGTTTCAAATTGTTTGCTAAAGGTTTTAATTCGCGGGATTCATGTAAATAGAGAGTGCAACATTATACCTTGCAGCTGAGGGAGAAGTCCTCTCTTGTCGAGCAGTGTATGATCATTAAGGGCTAAGAGGTTAAGAGTAAGACCATTTGAGGGTAATGCCTGATGGGTTAATCTTGTATCTGCCCACAGTTCTTGGGTTTTCATAAGTTGGTTGGATCCAAGAACCATTTAGTGTAAATGTTGGGCCCATTGAGAGCCCATGGTGATGGACTCAGGGGTTCACTATGACATACAGTGAATTCGACTAGACCTTATAATAAAGGTTGGACTGAACCCATGTGGCTGATGTGTAGATCAATGTTAGGGTCCCAAGCCATACAAAAGGAGAATTAAAGAGCAAGTGAGCACATAAGCTTAATGGGCTTAAGGCCCAATTCGAACTGGGCTTAAGTTAGTTAAATTAAAAGGGGGTGAATTCAACTTTTAAGCTGATTAGGATTAGCTGAAGGATAAGAAAAGTCTTATCCATTTAAGAGTCCAAGTCCAAATATCAGATTTGGATTAGGAAACTCTCTCCTGATTAGATTAGGAGGCTGATCCAAAGAAGGCTATAAATAGGGGGTGAATTCCTCAAATTTTCACAACAGCGAATTGAAAAATTCTTCCCCAATTCTTGYCGCCCCTACCTAGTTTGATCTCCACTTGTGGATCTGACCAAGAAGAGTTATTGATATTGTTTCTTTGTAGAAGAAGCAATCTGAAGTCATGCTCACTAGCCCTTGCTTGATTCTTGCTAAAGAATTCAGGTTTTTGTTGAAGAACCATCCTGTTGATCCTGTTTCACTACACACTATGTCATCTTCAGTGGAGACGGGTTTTGGTCTTCTCTTTGGGCGTGAACCTGCATTGGGAGTTCTTTTTACTTCGTATCAGGTATATCCCTCACTTCCCTTTTGGTTTCAGATCTGATACAGTTTTGATTCAAAAACAAACATTGAAAATACAATTTTCTAAATCTAGGAATTGGATTCACGGGAAGGGAGAGAAAATTTTTGAAAATTTGCCCAACCTTTTTGCATGGTTCGGCCATCAACTCAATGGATTTCCCTTCCCTTCAGGGAGAGGGAAGGTGTTAGGCACCCCTCTCTCCAAACTGTTGTAACAACCAAATACGAGAGTTGTCTAAGCTCTATTTCATGCGAAAAACAATAGAAATAAATAATTGTTGGAATTTCTGAAAGTTGGAGAAACATGCTCTCAACTTCTCCTAAGACCAATTTTGAGGTGATATTATTGGGTCTTAGGTACTGACTTCCCTAAAACCCTCACCTCTCTGCCTATATTCTCAATCTATATGAAGTCAAAAACAATGATTCTCTAATGTCTTAAAACTTCAAGCAATAAAAAAAGCACAAACTTAGGCTACATATAGGGTGAGTTGCCTTCCATATGTGATGTAGGCGCATCTAGCCTGGCCCAATGGGATGACAGCACACGTGCGGTAGCAGCATTTAAAGAGGACCCAATCAGAGCGAGTGTGAAGCAGAGATTGGCGGATATTCCAGAACCAATAGTGCATGGTCACTCGGCACTCTCGGGTGACCGTGCTCCTCGCGTACGGACCATATCCGAACCATCCGAGCACACCTACCTCCAGGCAAACTTAAGTATAAATAGGGGCAACCCCCTCAAGGTAAGGGGCTTGAATACTAGAACTTAAGAACTTGGATTTAGAACTCTCAATCTCCCTTGTGGCCTCGTCTAAGTGTTCACACCTCGGCCTCGTCCACCTTGCACCCCCTAGTACTAACTTGACCATTGGAGTTTCCGCTTCGGGTACCAACCCGAGGCCTTTGACATTCTCATTTCTTCATTCCTTGAAGGACAAGCCTACTAGCCATCGGCCACTTTAGGCCTCAGACTACTCGACCACACCTCGACTCAGGAGCGAATTGACAGTGTTGCCATTGGCCCATTTCGATCAGCAACAATTGGCGTCGTCTATGGGAAAGTCGCTAAGACTTCCCTCAACTAAACTCTATGTTAGACAGTGTATGCCCTTAGCTCCAATTAGATTGATGTACTTTTGACATTTACTATAAATCTGAAGTTGTGCTCACATCCCCTACGTAATCCTTGCTGAAGAACTACTTTGTTGATCCTGCTTCACCTTACGTTGCGCCATTTTCAGAGGAGGCAGGATTTGGTGACCTCTTTGGGTGTGAACACTACGTTGGGAGCTACATTTGTGGATTCCATATCAGGTATATCCCTCCCTTTGTTTTGGTTTATAGATTTGGTCTGGTTTGTTTCAAGAACGAACCTTGAAAAATGTAATTTTTCTAAATCAGGGAATATGATTCCCGAAAGGGAGAAAGAAAATTTTTGAAATTTCGCCCAACCACCCTACATGGTTCGGCCATCCATATGATGGATCTCCCTTCCCTTCTGTGGTATCAAGCTAGGTTCAAGTCTTCAACCAAATTTAGACCAGATCTGAACCTACGCAAAAGAGCAGAAACTGTTCTACCCGATTTGCGCTAACTAGCAGTTTTTTGAGAATTCAATTCTTAATTTTTGAGCACGTGATCTGAAAATTAATTCTTTATTATTTTGTTATAATTATGGAATTGTTCTATGATTATTTCTTGGATGTATGGGCTATATGTGTGCTGGAGATCGAAATCTTTCTATGGCGCCAAGAATTGCGCACCTTACTTTCATTCTATTCAATTTGGTCTATAAATACTTTTTTTTAATTTTCTAGACAAAATGTATAGGATTTGATCTGATGTAGTTAATAGAAAATTAAGGTTTTCTATTTTTTTTTTACATTGGAAGAAGTGCTGGAACGTGTGGAGGAGAAGAAGAATTTTTGCAGATACAAGATCTGCAATATGCGATTTGCAGAAAACGAATCTGTTATCTACGATTAATATTTTTCTTGCAGGTTTGCAAGTTGTCCAAGATCATCACACTACAGCCCCCTGATTATTTTCTTGCTGTTTTGATTGTC